ATCGACTCGGATAGTGGGCCCGACACGGCCTCCACCCCCACCAACCTGGGTTTCTTCTCCCAAGACAATGATGATGACCCGTTCGGAGACCGGCCTGTACCCGAGTGGGTAGCATGGGGCGAAGCGTCCGATGTCCAGCTTGGACGGTCCACCGTGAACCCTTTCGACGACCCCAACATAAACATTGAGGGTGATGGTTTGCCAAACGGGACGCCGAGTTCCAGTGACGGGTCGGGTAAGGCAGATTCGAGCCACAATAGTGTTGCTGTCCCGTCTTTGTTTGAGGAAGATGTGGAGTTTGTGGGTGTAGAGGTGGAAGGCACCGAGAAGGCCATGGAGCAGGCCATCAAGGAAGGGATTGTCGGTGAGGCTGGGCCGTTGAAAAGGAACCTCTCGCCCAAAAAGCCCGAGACTGAGGAAAGTGGTTCTAGCATGGATGAATTTAATGACGCAAACTATTGGAGGGTTGATCAGGAGGTGACTGTGTTGGAGTGAGACAGTGTAGGGGATTCGATTGGATTTGTTTATCCAAACCTCTGAGTCGAGAGGATAGATCGGGAGGATAGCGGAATCGCGGGTTATATATTTAATGATAGTGGTTGGTTGTCACTTGTCACTGGTTAATTATTATTATTGTTTTTTTTCACGCCTGTTTTGGCAGGTCGCGTCAGTTTTGTTATGAAGATAGATATCTGTTGTCTGTTCTCTTACCAATATTCATGTTTTTACTTAAATTGTTGCCAGTGAAGAAAACAATTTGTCAATGTGTAGAATGATAATTTGGGCTGACCTTTGATTGTTTGCAGTTTGTATTGATTCGTGGTTAAACGCATTGTAATGTAGCAGGGGAAGCTGCCGTTTCGGCTACCACAATAGTGTGGCAAAGCGAAGTTCAGTCAAAGACGTTATTGATTCGTGGTTAATGCTGCGTTTGACTTTGTTTTTGTTTGTAAGTACGTGTTGAGTGTTATATGACGGGCCCCAACACTATAAATAACACTATAAATATGGTCATCTCCATCATTGACGATTATCATATTCACCAAGACCTCTAAGGATGGTAACATGGAATCAGACTCGAACTAATAAGGCATTTTTTTCTTTTGTTTTTGGTTCTAACTTTCTGCACCATTAGTCTCGTTTTCAAATCGATCTCCCAGCAAAGCCACACTGGGTGTACCCACACGTGTGATTCACAAGCGTTGCCACACTGCCTGTTGTCAATCTCATGTGCGGGCATGCGCCTTGTTGGATTTCTTTCTGGCAACATGTTAACTCGCCATCTTCCGAGCTTGCTGTAAGTGTTTGGTTTTGGATTTTGGGTGGTTTGGGTGGTCCGTTTGGTATTTTTCAAATTTAATATTATTCGTATTAGGGTTCTTTTTGCACTCGTCTACGCTGTCCGTCTAGCGGCTTCATTCATTTGGTTGGTCGCTGTCTGTTACACATCTTTATCCGTGATCGTCCGTCCATACTGGAGGACATCTTTTGTCATCGTCGATTCATGTCGCAACTCAATGCAGTTGCGATAAATATATCTTTTGTCATCGTCGAATTATGTCAACTCAATGCAGTTGCTGTAAACATCACTCTTAATATTCAGAATTTATGGGGAGTGGACTTTTTCTATGGAAATCATATTGGAGGAAATTGCACCCCTTACATTCTCCTTCAAATTTTATTACACCTTTCTACTCCAAATATATTTATTTTTATTCTTAGCTAAAGAAGATAAAAATTTTCAAATATACCTAAAATCTCACTTAACAATTATTAACATGTTTTTAATGTTAAAGAGATAATTAAGGGATTTTAAATATCATTTTACCAAAAAAAGTGGAAGACAAAAAGGGGAAGGAACCGCCCACCTTCTCCCATTCTTCTGCAGAAACCGCCCCAAACTTTTTCCCCCTTTTCAAGAATCAATGGCAAAAACCAAACTCCCTCATCCTAATCGAAGAAATCCGGCAGATGTTGGCGACGTTTCGCCCGTTATAAGATCTAGTGCCCGACTCCGTAAAATTGGGAAATTTTTGCTTCTCCTTACTTCTCCCCCTCCTCCCACTGTAGAGCAATCAACTACTCCGCCAAAATCGCCATCGTCGCCGATTCTAAGCGCCGTCGACAAATTTGTTGAACTTGGTTAGTTACATTTGTTGTAGTTTTCTCAAATTTTCTTCTGATTAGAAACCTATCAATTACGTTTTGATTTCTCCATATCTTTAAAAAAGAAAGAAGATTTAGATTGTCGAAAGACTATCTCGGCTGATGCTTATTAAATTGATTGCGTTGTTTTGTTTTCTTGGTAGCATTCGGAAATTATTTTTGGAGAAAAATGAGTACCGCGGCCGACAAACCATCGACCACAAAAACTCCGGCTGATTTTCTCAAATCAATACGCGGCCGACCTGTGATCTTTTTTTTTTTCATTTTTTTTTCTGGGTATATGTTTGGTATATCTAATGTAATTGTTCCATACTAAGAAAAAATTTGACCTTATAATCTTTCTATGCTTTTTATCTGGTTATATGTTGGGTATATCCGAGGTAACTTTACACTTTCTGTAATATATTGGGTTATATGTTGGGTATATCCGAGTATATCCGAGGTAACTTTTTTCTGGTTATCTGGTTATATGTTGGGTATACCCGAGGTAACTTTTCTTTTTATCCGAGGTATCTTTTCCATAAAAATAGGCCTTATTCGAATTTGAAATGAATATGACGATTTTCAGTTTTTTTTTTCTTTTTTTTTTCCTGGTTGTAATGGCGGATTTCACGCACCATGATATGAATTCACAACGTTTTACAAGGTAACTGATTTAGATGCAATCCCTTAAATAAAATAGCTGGTTTAGGTATAATTGAAAATACTTTTACATTAAGGTATAATTGAAAATACTTTAATATCTTGTAGGAGGTGCAAAAATTTCCCATCATATTGCGTGGTCATGACATAGCCATCCATTTGATTGATGATGGACCCGAACGAAGCCTCACAACAGTAATGCTCTTGACATCATAATTTGGCGGATAAACGAAAGGAAATATTTTGAACGTTTTTGTGCTTGTTTTTGTGATATTTATTTGGTGAGTTGAGTCTATTTAGGCTCATTTTTTTGGTTATTCAGCAATATTGCCCCTTTCGTGTGTTTTAACATTTGTGTAGTGTTTTTATATTTTATACCTTGCCGTTTTCATTGGTGTTTCACATGTCCATCCCCATTTGAAAATTGATCACGATAAATCAAGTCAGTAATTTCAAGCATGAAACGTATAATTATCACGGAGTGCGCTATTTGTCGTACGAACTAAATTAAGAACTGAAGAATGCGGAAGCAATAAACCAAAGATTTAAAAACTCTTCAGGGAAGCATCCCACTTCCCCTCAGAGCTCATTCATTGATAGATCGAACACGAACATAGTTTGGACTTACAAAGACTCAAACTCCCTTTAAGCCTAGCCAACACTACTTAAGATCCTATCAACTATTTCTCTGGTCACGTCCCGTGGACTTTTTATCTTACACTTACTCCCTAAGTGTAAAAGTAAAAGATAGTTTGATGAAACAAAGAAACTAAGCACAAAACAGCTTCAGTCCTTGAGTTTGTAAGAACTCTCGTACTGAACTGTGTACAACTGAAAAGAATAGAAAATATGAAGCTCAAATATTGCTCTAAAAATTTGTCTAACTTCAGCAGCCGCAATAAGAGCTTCCTCTAGGGTATTTATATGAACTCCTTAGGGTTGGAGTCTTCTACAAGGCATAGGACTCCAAACTTGATTTCCTTCCATAATTGTAGCTCAATTTAGGTAAGTGAATCTTTCATTCTCTCTCTTTGATCTCCTTAGCATGCACGCCTCTTCTTCCTTTAATTCCTTCAAGTCCGATTTCCTACAAAATAAAATACCATAATAAGATCCATAATATCTTATATATGGAATATAAAATAAACTCAATTAAGGAAATAAATATTTGAAGATCTTCTCTTTTTCTGTAGTTCCAGGTGCTTGTTCGAACTGACGAACTAATGCCAAATAAAAATATCTTTCAATCTCTCCCTTTGGCATCTAGTTCGAAAACAACAGACTTGAAAGTCTCCTGAAAATTAAAACAATAAGCACCAAATAGTAAACCACATCAAGGGGTTAGTCCAAACATTCCCACACTGAATAATAGTCACTGTATAACTACAGTTCTCCCCCTCAGTTCCTGCAGCCATCAAAACTTAACTGAATGAATCTTACAAATTTCCATTCAATCGAAATAAGTAGTCATCAAAGCAAAACAACTGCATCCAAAATGATTAAGAACAATAGCAACAAACCACATCACAAAAGCAAACAAATACGAAGTTCTTTATTACATAAAGTCCTCCCTACATCCCTCCACAGAAAACAATCTACTACTCATCATCATCATAATACTTTGCAATGGCCTCATCAGTGTTTCGCAATGGCCTCATCAGTGCTATCTCCCCCAGAATCAGAATCTTCATCATCGCCTTTGCCAGCAGCAGTTGAACCCTTCTCCCCCTTTTTCGAACTACGGGATGCCGAAGGGCCTGTCCCCGTGTTCTTCCGCTTCGTCCCCTTGACTGCTTGCAACACTTGTCGAAGATAGGCTTGCTGAGCAGCTACTTTCTTTGCCAAATCATCCCACTCTCCAAGTTTTTGTGCCACTAACTCATCCCAGTTTTTAGGGACCAAGGAGGGAGCCAGTTCCCTTGTGACCTTGGTTGTCCCTTTTTCATTGAGAGTGCGAGCACTCACAGTGAATGCTTTGCCTGGGTTCTCGAGAGAGTCTTGGTAGCGAGGATTAACAGAAAAATTGTGGGCAGCCAAGAAGGACCAAATAAGACAAGGAAAAGGAAGGGTTTTGCGAGACTCAATATTAGTGACAAAGGTTTGAAGAATTTCAAAGACAAGATCCCCAAAGCTGAAAACCTTCCCAATCATGACCCAATAAATGACTTTACTCTGAGACTCCGTGAGCAAAGTTTTGTTCGAAGTAGGAGTCCAGTTGCCAGCACCAATTTTATGCAACAGATTAGCAACCAAACAGAGTGAACTCACAGGCAAATTAGAACCAGACCATGTATTTAACTGACCAGAAGTAAGAACTTTGGTCATAGCATCTAAATCAACTTCAGTGAGGGAAGAGTTATCAAGATCAGAGGGCAAACCAAGATGATCATTAAACAAGGCAGGAGACACATCAATCACACAGTTTCGAAGAAAAAGCTTGTGAAAATGAGGGCTATTAGAATCAAACACTGCAGGGTGAGATTAGCATAGAATTCTTTGACAACTTGCCCACAGAAAGGCTGAAGATCAGACACGGTTTCAGACAAACCGACAGACTCTATCAAACGAAGAATGCCAAGATCAGCAAACTTACCAGCTTCTACAACACGTTCGGACCAGAACCCATAAGATCCAAAACTAACAAAGCGCTCATGAGCCGCCTCTGTATAGAACCAATTGGTGAAGGT